TCTCCTGTGCTTCGAGAGTTTTTGTTTGGCTTCTCATGTGATCATCTGCCAAAACATTGGATAACAAAAGTACCCACCACCTATATCAATAAAATCGGATCCATTGTTTGGACTATTGTTTTACCGTGTCCGTTATTTATTACCCTTTTTTATTACTTTTTTAAATACACAAAATAAGCCATAATTATAAGGGTTTACTGCTGTTTGAGTTCGATGCCATCCACTGTAAATGGAGGAGTAAACATCAGCGTCTAAACTAATATGAACGTTGAAAATGAAGCCGCATTGGATCTCAAAGTAGCTATGCCGATATTGACATAACTGAATTATGAATCATTTCAATCATGTGTTTCTCAGCTTCGAGAAAGTCACTTCCACATGCACAGCCGCCAAAACTTTATTAATATTTCATTAACAGGCTTTTTTTTGTTTGAGTTAACGAACTTTCTAGAAAGGCTTTATTTTTTTTCACTTCAAGGATATGATGAGTCACTACCTGGTGGTCATGCTTCTTGAAGGATCTCTTTATGGACCGGACTTCAGGATGAATTAACCAGTGCCGAGTTTTACTAAAAATGTCTCCAAGCATAAAAAACTGTTTATGATGTGACAGGAAGATAATTTATTTATTAATGGAGTTTGTTGGCTGGGGTAATAAAGAGGGAGACAATCTGATATAATGATAGTGCAAACAGAAGCCGATGAATTTCAACGAGTAAAAACATTTGGAAAGGCAAATAAGATAGAAGATAAATCAGTAAAAATATGATCTTGCAATGGCAAATGTAATATCTCAAAATGATTATAGTCCCTAAAATAAGCCATAAATCCAGCAAATTGCTTTCAGTAAACATGTTATCGCATGAGCAAGCCAATCATTGCCTTTTACTGCCTTTTGGCATTCATTCCAATTGATCTTAAAAGTTGCCAATAATTGCAATATGACAGTGGACTTCATATCAAATTGATTTCGCAAGTGTTTAAGGGACTTGTTGTTTTTCGATTCATTTTTCATACCTTGATTTTTTTTTTCGTTCTTCATACCATTTTAATTTCTGACAGCAACTAAGGCCCAGGTCAGACGGCGTAATTCACATGAGCCGAACCTCATATAGGGTAATAAGGTCATGCGAAGTACGGCGTCTGACCCAATTAAGTTCGACTGATTCAATTTGGACCGACTAAGTCGTTCTTCACGACTAGGTCAGTCGTGAAGAACGACTGAAGATCGACTTCGGGTCAAACGCCGTACCTCACATGGGCCGATCCAAATGCATTAATTATGTTAATGCATGTTTTGGCCTCGTTTTCATTAACCATCACTAAAGCGCATGCGCACTTGAGCATTCTTCAAAGATGGCGGATGATTTTCGATTTTTCTGAGAATGTAAAGGAATGTTCCCCTGGAAACCCTGAATGTTTTCTTAAACCGTTCATCTGAATAATTGTTCCAGACGATTTCAAACCAACCAAAATTACGTGCAAAGCGTTTACATGCTCTTTCACGTACTTTCGTTTCATTTCGCGAAAGCAGAAGAAGAGCAGAAACAAAACATACACGTAGCAGTGCCACCCTTCTTTTTTGCAAAAGTATGATGCTTTTTTTGATGGTAGCCCGTCTTCTTCTTGAATTCAAAATTTTTTTTATTAGCAATATCCGGCGAGCTGCCATGGCCGACGCCATTATGATGCGTTTGCCGCTGACCACTCAAACATGATTGTTTTTGGTACGACTGTAAATACTCGTAATAAGTTCGACGTTTGACTCGACCCAGTCGATCTAATTCCATAAGTCGATCCAAACTACAATTAGGTTCGGCTCATGTGAATTACGGCGTCTGACCTGGGCCTAATTCTCTTCTTTTTTCTTCTTCTTTTTCATCATCTTCCTTTTATTATTTTTGAGAAATTTGTAATCAGTTTTATCTTCATGGAGCATGCATTTGCTTATAAGCCGGCAGGTGAAACAAAGAGTTGTTTATGATATTTTATTATTATTTTAAATTTTTATAGGATAGAGTAATCTTACTATTGATTAAATTCAATTGGCAACCAAATTTTTGGGAGGCGATTTCCATGGCAACCATTACAGAGCGAAACATCTGCTACATTCCTTCCCATTAGTACATCTTGAATCCAGTTGAATTAACTTCATTTAGTTCGACATTGTGGCTTCGGGCAAATTAATATTCTGAGCAATAACTTCACCAAACTACCTTGAAAATCCTGTTTTAATTCCTTTTTCCTTATTCCCAAAYGAAAGAGAAAATATATTTGAAAATATCGAACGCCTTAGCCGCAAGTCATAGTCTTCCCAATGAAAACAGATCATGCCGGCTGCTGTCTTATTACAAATATTGAATTATAAATATTGATTTATAAGTTTATAAATTTTTAACGCGCTGATAAGAGAAGCATAGAAGCTATAGATATGGTGATAGGGGGCTGAATATGCAATAACTCGATCGACGAACTCCCGCTAACTAGAAGCAATTTTCTTTTCCCAGCCTCAGGTAGTTTTCTCTATAATTTTACACTCAATAACTTGAACTTTGTTTCAACTGTAATTTATGATGAAACCCAAAACGTTTTAGTTCATTAATATTCCTGTAGTGAGAACGATGTTTTTCTACACGACATGAAAATACGTAATTAAGCGGAGTCAGCAGAAAATCCTTTCCACTAGTTTTTAACAAGTTGCTGCTTAGTTCTGCGTATTAGTCCGAAAATAAATACAGTAAATATTGTTCATTTTAAACTGTTTTCCGTTATTAACCTGAATCACGCATTAAGCTATGTTTGAATAAACATGAATAAAAGCAAAACACGGTAGTCTGCTCTCATCCGGTTCTCGAACTCGCAATAACTCGAACTTCTTTCATTTTCTTTAGAGGTTCGAGTTACCGGGATTCAACTGTATATTTTCATTTTGACTCATCACAGCATGGTTTACTATGCAACAAAGCAACAGACATACAAGAGAAAGACAGACAGACACTAACGCCGGGGTCACGTGATTTCACCCTCTGAAAAATGTTTGAAAAATGACAAAAATGTTTGATTTGAGTGGGTCAGGTCATGTGTCCTGAAATTTCGACTGGAGTCGTCCCTTTAAGGCCAGAGATTACCAATATCAGAAAACGACACAAGAAAATAGGAGCGATTTGCTTTGTAGGGGTTAGTTACTCGTTCCGAGGTAATTACCAAGGAACGAGTAACTAACTGGCTTAGCTCATAGATAACGAGGTTATCGAAACAAACTACAAACCATTGCTTTGCTCAAACGCTTTTAAAATGGTGAAATTACAGCTAGACACTGTAATGCATTGCTTTAATATTGTGTATTGTGACGAACTCTTCATATATTACAATACCCGTAAAGGATCGGTTCAAATTAATTTCAAATTAAAGTGGCCGTAGAGCAAGCCGACTGTACCTAGTCTGCATAGTTAAGACCGACTACTCAAAAGCTTAAAAGAGACAAATGTTGTAAATTTATTCTGAAATGAAGCCCCTGCATGGGCGATGAATCAATAAAGCTTATCGTATATGTAAAGTTTTGACCCTATGATCAAGCATAAGTGAGAATTTTATCGGCTACATGTGCTCTTCTCCTTAGAATCTCATTTTCAAGTTCACATGCAGTTTTGAGCTTTGAGGTCATTTTAAATTTCTGGGGTCTTATGTTGTGGTGCAATAGCGGTACCTACAAGCTTGAATTTGGAGTTTCTTTGGGGGGATTGAGACGGATCAAAAGTGCCATGGACTTCATTTCTTATCCAATTTCATAAAAATATCTACCAAAATACTCTGAAAAGATTTTATTCTTTCAAGCTGAATGGACAAATTTGATTCTGAGCACGTGTGAAAAGAAAATCCACCATGAATTTCAAAAAGTATCTATTGTTTACATACGAAGTCCTTGTTACATTGCTGTTGCTAGTGATAACGAAAGTCTTAACAGACATTAACATTTATCAAACACGTATCTGTTAAAGTTTGTGTTATTCACCATTTTCCATACTTCGGTTCACTGGTCAAACACAAAGCATTCAGTCGAGGTTGCAAGGTTCAAATTTGAATAATCCTTTCGGAAAGTACCTTGGCGCCTCGCTTGGGCGCTTTATATTTGACCAGTGAACCGATGAATGGAAAATGGTGAATACCTACGTTAGGCTTATACAATTATTAAAGTGCTTGTACACGCTCGCTTCGGCTCTAACATAGCTGCTTCTAATATATTAGTCATGCGTTTAACACAATGTTCGTGTCTTCCCGCCAAACCAAACTGACAGTTTACTCAAATAAAAATGTGTTAGTTGGCTGAACGACAGCTGAAAAAACTCCAGTCAAAAACAAATACACAGAGTGAGGTTTACAAACTTTGACGCCTTGGTAGTTTTCAGAAACCCACGATAAGTATGATCTCAAGGGCGATAGAAAAGGGGTTGTTTTCTGCTGTTGTTTTCATTTTTCTGCTTTTTTTTCGAATGTCATTGCAGCTTGATGGAAATGGGTATTCAACTTTTCCTCAGCTGATAACTAAAGATCTTGGAAGTCGATATTTTTCTGTCAAAAAGGGATATAGGCTTGATGGGAAGCCGAGTAAAACCATTCAAGTCCATGACACCTTTACTTGCCTTCAACACTGTATGAAAGATTCGTGTATCTCGGTGAATTTCCAAGAGAAAACGAGAACAAAGGGAACTCATGTTTGTGAATTGATAACTGGAAAACTATCRCCAAGTGAACTTGATAAAGCTTTGAGAGGCGACGACACTTTTAATTTCATTTCTTTGCAGGTAATGCTTCTATTTCTATCACGTCCTATATTATTTAGGATTTAGGTTACTTTAGGGTACTATAAAAATTTATATGGAGAATAGAAACGTTTTGATTTTTTGGCTTTTGCAGTTGTTTTCATTTTCAGTATAATTCTTGTTCGTTTTAGGTTTATTTTTCTTTTTGTTTTATTTTCTTAGAAAGATAAAAATATATATTAAAAAATAATTTTGCCAACTCCATTGCGGAGTGTGAGCTCAGCTCATGAAAAGCATTAAATGAAATCCCGAGGGAAATTAAAAAGTACAGTGAGCAAACGAAATGTCATTCATTTTCACTAAAAGAAACAAGTTTTTCAAAGAATGTTTGTATTCGACATGGCTTTTTATTTACTTTACAAGAGAACGCTGTATTTACTTTTCATTCATCAGCCAAAAACAAATAACAGTATTCTCTTCCTATCAAACCCACATTTTGTCAGCTTTTTCTGTTCTTTGTTTCTTTTTTTATTCTTTTCTGTTTTCCTTTTTTTTTTTTTTTTTTTTTTTTTTTTCTTCTGTAGTGTCTCTTACGTTCTTTCTTGCGTAAAAAGTTATTGTCTGACAGTGAAAATTTGATTTATCAGAATAAATGCCTCTTTCATTTGTTTTATCTCTTTCATGTCAGTATTTCATTTGTATATATCGACGTTTCTATTAATTGCCTTTTTTTCTGGTAGTTTACTACCAAAGTTGTCTGAAAAGTATACCAGCGATAAATATGTATATATATTTATACATATTAATAACATATTTTCAAATATAACTTATACAGTGACATCTTAAATTTTGCAGCCGCCATTGTATAAAGATTGTCATGAAATCTACAAAGACGGAGGAAAAGTCAGCGGTGTCTACAGCATCTCTCCCAGTCAGTTTCATCCAGTTCAAGTCTACTGTGACATGGTAACCAGTGGAGGAGGATGGACTGTCATCCAAAAACGAATAGACGGCTCGGTCGATTTTTACCGTGACTGGGCTGACTATRAATGGGGGTTTGGAAACAAACTTGGAGAGTACTGGTTGGGACTGGATAATATCCACAGGATGACGTCACAGAGGAGATACCGCCTGCGAGTTGACATGGAGGACTTCGAGGGAAACACGCGATATGCTGATTATGGATTGTTTAAGGTGGCTGATGAGAGTGTTAATTACCGTCTWACTGTGGGACAGTACACAGGTAAGTTGTTTGACAAGTAGATGCACTTCCTATGCCAAATATACTGAAAAATATTTACCAATGGCTACCGCTAGCATAGAGGAAGAAAAATCATCCAATTTCATAAAAATAAAAAGTAAGAAATGATAAATCAGTAGTAGTAGACTTTTCTTCGGCTCCAATTCTTTTTTGTCAATTTTTATTGTGTCACRAGGATAGTTTCCGAACATATTTTCTTCTAAAAGCTGCGCTACTGCTAGACCTTTATGTCAACAAACATGTTAATGCGCATGCTCTGTTGCATTTAAAAACGTCATGAATAATTAATGACCTTAGAACAATATAAAGTCACTACCATGAAGGCATCTGTAAACCCTGATTTGCATAAGGTTGACTTTGAAATATCTCGGCCAAATTACATTTAATGTTAAAATTTTTACTCTAAAAAAGAAGCATTAATCTAGACATTTTAAAAGTAATATATACAATATTCGCGTGAGATCATCTGTATGAGGTTTAAAACAGCTCGCTTGCAGCTCGCTCTTTTAAATCCTCATACAGACCTCCCGATCATATTGATCAGAATTTCTATATACACTCGAAGGATCGTTGTCGGGTTCAGAATAGAACATAGAAGCTGAGACCGAAATGGCACATGGGAAGTACGTTAATTAGATGCATGCTGTGACCGGCGAACCGTGGCATTATCCACACTGTTTTTAATACGCGTTTGGCATTCTAGACCGATTGCATGGATGGTGCAAATGAATAAAATATAATATAATTGTCATTTCCCATGTGCCAATGCGGTCTCAGCTTTTATGTTCTATGTTTCTGAACCCGACAACGATTCTTCAATTGAGTGTATATATTACTTAGAATTTGACTCAAGATAAAATGTTAACATTCATCTTGACAGGTGATGCTGGTAATGCGTTGTTTGTTCACGACAACATGACATTTTCCACCAAAGATCGTGATAACGATAAAGATAACTTAAAATCTTGTGCAGTAGCGTTCAAAGGAGCATGGTGGTACAACAATTGTCTGAACTGTAATCCCAATGCTTACTATTACCAGGCCTGTAAAAATGCGTGCCCTGAATATAAAGGGATTTACTGGCAGCAATGGCACGGAGCAAAGTATTCTTTAAAGCGATTTGAAATGAAGATTAAACCAAATTTCTAATTAACAAATAAATATCAAATGGACAAACATAACTTAAAATAGCACTAGCATAGCATTTTTGGTTTATAGTTACTCATTTGGCTGATACTATTAAATAATACTATTAAATGCAAAGGGTACTAAGCTAGAATAGTCCCTTTCACAGTTCCCTGCGCTAACTTGAAAGGAAAGACCTTTTTTGATAATAGAGACCCTTGGACACACCTTGGACACTTAATTACATGTCTCTATGGATACACCGCTCGTCTCGCTTCGATGCTAAGGCACGGCTACCTTTCAAGATGGCGCAGGAACCTGTGAAGGGGACTATTGGCGAATAAAAAAGTAAATTTGCATTTGTTGTAATAATAAACTTATATTCCCTTGTAACAATCTCTATACAAAAACTGTGCAAATTTTATTTAGAGTTAAACAGTTACTGATAAAAAAGAAAAACAAATATCGATCCGAAAAAGCTCAAAAATGAAAATGAGAAATAAACTGAAAGTGCCACAAGATTGTATCCAATGCTAATATATTCGTGAAATAAACTGAACCACGAGTAAAAATAGGTATCGGGCAGTTTATCCATTTACTACTTCAGTAACCTCCATTAACCAAGATTGGTTCTGTTCCTTAAACGTCCAATATTTTTTTTCTCAACTGCACGATGCACCACCAACATTTCCATAAAATTAACAAAATAATAACCCTGAAAACAATGCTTGAGATGGACTTCATTAATTTCCATTTTAAATCAACGTCGTGGCAGATGGAGCAAGGGAATGCTGTGTACGTACGGTCTGCGAAACGACTATTCTACCGCGATACCTTCGTGCTTCAACATTATCCTGCATCATCTGCGTAAAATAAAACAATTATTATTTATTTATTGTTGTTTGCCCTTTTAACTTCATAAAAATTAAATCCTCTTGCCAGTACAACGATAAAGAAAATACCTCACATCACGTGACTTACAGGTTTATAAATAACCTTCCAAGTCGTTATTGCTTTACAAAACATCAACTGGTACCATCAACGAGTTTGTAAGCAAAACACAAATCTTTGATCATACAACATGGCTGCAGAAAGATCTTAAACCTTATGGCATATCTTTAGCACCAAACGCTCTGGTAAACCCGTGACACTCATTGGCTTTTCACAGCAATGAAAGTCATATTATCAGTGAACGTACCTTCTCCTTATGTCTAGCAAGCAACCGTACAACGAAAGGTAATGATTTATAACGTGTTTTTTTTTATGTGTTTGAAAGTCATGGAGCGTAAAATTGTATTTTAAAACTTTGCATTCTACACGCAGTGTAATCGATATCGCTGATGGCCCGAGAGACGTACTTGATGAACCAAATTATGATGAAGGGAATGAAACAAATGCAAGGTGACTTAATTAGGTTGAAATTATTATGAAGCTTTGCGAATGAGATATTTCGTAGTTTATGTACGAGGTATAATGACAATTGAGCTTGTTGAAATTATTTTATGTAAAATAACTCAGGTTGTGGAATAGAAAGGTTGACAAGGCCTTGATGTCGTTCCATATTGTTTGCTTATATCAACGGTGTTCTGGATTTGCCAGACACTCAACTTCAGACAATCAAATTACTCGGTACAACACCCTCTCATTGGTCTTCAAAGATCAAAAATTTCAGTAAACAATTCCTAAAAAATATAAGTGTTAGTAGCATATGATGTAGCGTATAATTATCTATTTTTTTTTTTAGAATACCAAGAGTTTCAAGAGACTCTAGAAATAACGAAACTGCTACTACATACGACAATTCGACTAGCTCCTCCCCTGACGGGCAGTTGTTCTCGACCAATTACGTCGACCAACTGGTCGAATCTTTCTGGACAAAAATTGACCAAAAGATTGACGATGCAGTATCACAGCAACAAGCAGCACATAAAATACAAGAACAGACTCTACAAAATGATAAACAAGGTTTGCATTTAAAAGGAAGTCTTTCACGCTTAGTCCAATAGTCCCCTTCACACTCCCCTGCGCCATCTTATAAGGTAACTGTGCCTGTGCATCCAAGCGAGAACGGCGGTGACCTTGCAATGATAGAGACCTCTTCATAAACCTTGGATAATTATACCTTGGATGTCTCTACCATTGCAAGGTCACTGCCGCCGTCTTCGCACCATGTAGAGTCACGCGTTGCCTTTCAAGATGGCGCAGGGATCTACGAAATGGACTATTAATTACACCCCAAGCACAAAAAGTATGACCACACTTAAAGTATTCGCATACTTCTATGCACGCTCTTTTGTACGTTAAACCGGCACATTTTGTGCGAAGCTGCCTGGTTCACCAAATAAGGCATGCAAAAGCTCGTTCGGCAGGAAAAAGCCCGTGCATATAGGTATGCGAATACATTAAATGTGGTCACACTTTTGAGCGTTGCGCTATAAAACATTTTGGGAAAACATTATTAAATGCGATTTCAAAGACGCATACTCCATAGCTTTTTGTATATAATAAAAGTGAGTATATATGCAAGTTGCAAATTTTTAGTCAATGTATTTATCTTTCTCGGTATAAGTGCAGCTTTTCTTTGCCTTTTTTTTATAAACAGCAAAAGAAAAGGAGAAAGCATCCGCCGTGGGGAAGTACACAGAATATTATAATTTCTCGTATTCTTTTATATATATGTTTGAGGTAAGTATAATAAGTTATGATTAGGTCCTATTTTTAGAGAAAAGGGTGCCCAGACTGGTATTGCGGATTCTTTTGGTTTTGGGGTCCCCAGAAACTGTGTCATCCTTACCTTATTGTAAACTGGCAGTTGATGCCGGATCCTTTTAACTTGATAATCTGAAACAGCAATCTTTGTTTGTGTTGATGTAATATATTTGTGATTCTCAGTAGTTTAACCTTAAAGGTAAAGCACCTATATTTAACGTCGGTAGTTCCTTCAGTTGAAATTCAACTGCTATCAATGGAAGCCGAAGGTGCGCACTTTACCCCCTCTCTCCATCAGTGCTCTGTTTTAAGAGTATTTAAAGCTGAAGCTACACGGATTAGAGAGAAGTCGAAACAGACGTGGAGATCCTAAGGATCGAACCGTGGACCTCAAGCTCTGAAGCTCACTAACCAACTAAGCTATGCCTGCTTCTGAGTATATATTACTTATTTAAATAATGTAAAAGAACAAAAAGGTATACAACGTCAACATGGGTGAGAAATCATGTGAAGCATTTCACTATGTCAAACGAGCTCAGATCGCCTATTTCAGATCTCCGACCGACAACGTTTAGGTTTTTTGAAATAGGTGTATATCTATTACTATATATCTATTACTATATATCTATTACTATATATCTATTACTATATATATATCTATCCTTATTACTATGATAATCAATGAACGTTTTTGTTATTTTATTTACGATTAGTTTTTGCTGAGGATATGTACACTTTTCAAAACGAAGGTCTTTGCTAAAGCAAGAGTAAGTCAATTCAAAATCAATTGATCCAAATTTCATTCGTCTTTTCCTGGGGTACTCGTAGTTTTGCCACAGTTATGCATATTCCTAGCTCTTTTTCTTCTTTCTCTGAAATATATTATTCAACAGCTAACTATTTTCCTTCGTTGCTTAAAACTGATTGACATCTTTTCATCTACCTGCAGACAGCCGTAGCTTTTATATCTAGTATTCAATGGCGGGAAAATTTTGCCAAGTGCTTGTTTCATCGTCGTGCTCATTTTATAGTATTTTTACTGACTGTCATCGATGTAACGTTGGTGTCATTGATCATCTTAAGGGATTTTGATTTTGTAGACGGTAAGATAACTTGTCTGCAAGTTTTGTACTTGTTGACAAACAAACAATGTAACGAAAAGTAATGTAGTGCAATGCGGGGTAGTGGTTTACCGCTCGCCTCTAGTGGTCCGTGTTTGTGCCCCGGCTCAGACTGGATCAGAAGTAAGCTGAGTTTGTCGGATGTGTTGTTCTCTATCTTCCCACGAGGATTTTTTCTCTGGTTTTCCTCCCCCTGTTAAAATCAACAAGTGAGTTGAGTATTGTATGTATGTTCTAAGTATATAATGTAGTAGTAGTTTCCCGTATGGGGAGTGATGTTTGTAAAGTATGTTTTCTTAAACTTTTGTCAGAGTAATGAGATGCCGTCTTTTATATTTAAACAGAAGAGAACAACGTTGCTGCGTTCCAAACATTCCAGATAATTTGTCTATCTATCATGAGTTGCTTTTTACTTGAGGTAAAGTATGCGTTTTTCCGAAGGGGGAGGGGGGTTGGGGGGAGAGAGTTACTCCCTTTGTTCAAGTGATAGAAATGACGACGTTCCTTCTAGGGCTCAAAATATTTCCTGTGTGAACTCTTTAGAGATAATTCAGTGCACTATATACTGTTTATTGTAAGAGAACACGAAAAAAAAAAAAAAAAAAATGTTGTCTGCAGCCACTACACAAACTGAGGGCGATTGACATTAAATTGTTATTCAGTTTTCATGAGCAAAAAGCCTTTTTGTGGTCTCAGTTGTGTTGTCTATTATTTGTAGATTCTATTAAAGATCGTATGCGTGGGAAAGGCCATTTTCTCAGATAGTCTTGAGGTAAGATATTTAAAACGTTATCATGGAGTGAGGAACCAATGTTAATAATAATGGTAATGGTGATAACAATAAGTAAGAGGGAATGGTAACAACTCGCAATATTATCATTATTGGTTAAAAGATGAATCCAAAACGCACGTGAGTGCTGCTTGCAAAAATGGCGCGGGGATTTGCGATACGCGAGCGAATTATCAGAAGCATGACGTGTAGATGAATACTTCTAGACACTCTTCGAAGTTTCTGGGTTCTGCATGCCAATCCCACTGAAGTGCCTTATAACTGCACACGGCACAGCAAACAAGCAAGTTTATTCAATTTAATTTAGTAGTTCAGGCACGAATATAGAAATATAGAAATTGAAAGTACACGAGCGTGCTGTGTGCTCTCATAATCCCAACCAAGCAGAACGCGGGATTTATAACAGTTAATCTATAATTATAATTATCAAACCACCAGGTATTTGATTGTATCCTGGTAACCTTCTACTTTATTGCTGAACTGGCTGCAACAAAAGCTTTCAGGTACTATATTATATAAAGAATACATTCTAAGAAATTAAAAGTAATGGATGTTTCGGGGTTTTTGATAACATCTCAAGTTTTGAATACAGAACTCAGTATAAAAGATACTTCGTTCTATTTTTTTAATTATTAGGAATATTGACGGAACGTACTCCAAGTACATCCATATAGCTGCCTCTTTACGGCTTTGGAGAATCGTTATCATTTTGAGTGGTGAGTGATTTAGAGAATTCAATATCTTCAATCTATGGATGAACGCAACGTAAGCATCGTCCACGAGCTTCCTTTCCCACGCGAAAGTCTAACTATGTGCGTTTCGGCGCAAACTTTGATGATAAGTTGATACAATTATGATTAAAAGAAACTCAATCGATTTTGAACTGTATATGTAACTTATGAATGTCAGCTGCGGGTTTATCTTAATTCGTTCCATCATTTCATTATTCAGTAAGTAAACAGCAGCTTACTCTTGTTTTATCATTCAATTTTCAGACGCTTTTTTAACAAAAGACGAAGCAGAAGAAACGGGATGACAAGTTTCTCAATTTCAAAGCACGAATAGCAAATATCCATTCTTAGATAGCCAAAATATACACTAACGGACGGACCATTAGATTTTTGAGGGGGG